GGAGAAAGTGGCACGCGACTAAGCCGCGGGACGATCCACTTCACACAGGAGAGAACCATCTTGTAATGTACGGCTTGTCTTTAATGCAGTCCATATTTCGCTGTCAAAAGGTGCAGTGTCCATGAACCTTGTTGTGAGCATAGCAACGGTAGGCAGTTGCCTCTCGTATGAAGACGTGGAGCATGGAAGAGCGACAAAGGCACAAGGGATTCTTGATGCACCCCTGCCCCCCCCCCTCTATCTTGAGCGGCAGTTGTGTTTTCTGTTGCGCTCAGAACCAAGTCCGTAAACGCTCTCCTTTCGACGCCGAGCTTGGTTTCCGAGACAGTCATGATCACTGCGAACGAATGGGTGCGTGAAGTGGCGTGGATAAAAATGCAGCTTGAACCGCCTTTTTTACCAATGATGCCATCCTGAGTCCGCTGCAGTTGGTGGGAAGGTTGATCAGGCTGCGTTCCAATCCCCCCCCCCATTACATGTTCCCAATCCATCTCCCATTACATGTCCTGAGGTTTCCAGGGATCGCGACCGTATATTAGCTCAAAGAGGTCCTTTTTCCAGCACCTCATCCATCATGTCTTCATCCATGGTCGATTACTTCCAATTGTGTGATGATTTGTCAGAAAGTGAAGAGTCTCCAAGTAGTTCTGAACGAAAGGTACATCCATTGGTTTTGATTTTATTATTTGCTCTGATATAATTGTCTAATGGCCTTTTATGCACGCTGCATAGTTGGCTTGAGAGATACGGTCCAGTTACAGTCCATATCCCGGAGATGGGGAGGGCGTGGCAGCATCTCATTCGAACATGACAGCGGCTGCTCTTTTGATGAAGTATTGCCTTTTGTGGTATAACTGTACTCATGTTCTTGTCCAGCACAAGACGGGATGAGAGTTGTCTCACATGGAAATAACCTACAAAGAATGCATCTTATGCCATGTTCAAATGAAGTACACAGCCACGCCTTTCCCCTCCTAGGGATATGGAGTATATAATGTCCGCTGCTACCAGTTGTCAAATCAGCGCATCGAATCATACCCGAACATCGAATAAGTTTTACAATCCTTTTAGGATTGGGGTGAAGGGAAAGTCTTGGCCGTTAATCATCCCTTTTTGGGATGCGGCACGCGTTCCTCTTCCATACAAGATTGTAGTGGCTGGTTGAATGCGATGTGACCTCTACAATGACTTGGGGGGGCCAGTTGACGTAAAGTCATGGCGGCCAGTCATTTTTATCCTCTTGAAGCAATCTAGTACCGATTCACCGTTTCTGGAAAAGTGGAAGGCTAGGTTGGCCTGGGCAGAAGCCGCGATCTGGGATTTGCCGCCTATTAGAGCCACGCCATTCCGCGTGCCTACCTCCAGCCAGGCTGTCCAGCGCAGTGGTACAACATCGTGATGTTGAAGATAGGGTGGGGCGGGTGTCGAGATCCGCCGCCGTTTGAGGGAGAGTCTCGGGTAGCGAACCCCCCCCCTTTTTCCGCAACACATAACTAGACAGCCGTACCGGGACAATTTTCCCAGTTTTTCAACCGAAAGATCTTCCGTCGAGTGGAGGGGGGAGGGGTTTACAGCCAATGTGTAGCGGGAAAGACTTCCCCCAACTTCTCTAGCTTTGTGCTCTATGGTGTGCTAATGCTTATGGGATGGTTGTCATTGATACGCTTCAGGATCAAACCTCAAGTGCATTTGGAAAAGAAGAAGATTTCATGTCAGAAACAGGATTCCATCTCCGAGCCTGAATCAGCAGCAACTGGACAAGGGTTCGATACCGATGCGGAAATGGCGAGGTCATTTGTGCTTAGTGGATGGGCTGATGTAGAGGTAAACGGTTGAACCTTTCAAAAACTATTGTAGCAGTCGCTAAACCAGGGTTTCAATTTTTTATGCATTTTTCTGATTATTTCTGCATTTTACAGGATCTGGACACCTTCATATCTCTCCTGGATCGGCGGTCTGTTCCCACTAAACAGAGAGATGTCATCCCCGCTGAGAACTATGGCTATCATTGACTTCAGAATTGCACTAACGATGAGACAGATGGAAGTAAAAGGACGGAGGTTCCACAAAGATGAGACCGACTAGTCAGGAAAGGGACACCTGTGGTACGCTGTACCATGCAGACCGAATCGAAGGTGGAGCAGGTGGTGCAGTGCGTTACCCACTGTGTGCGGACTGGATTTTGAAAAACACGTTACGAGAAGTGGCATGTTTTCAGATAGCTCTCCTTCTCGCTGAATGCCTGCTGACGCAACGCGAGGAAATGTCGGAGCCGAGTATCGCTTGCTTCAACTTGCAGTTGGCGAATGTTAACTGGCGCCCTTGTTTGGGGGGCTTCCCCCGTGTAGCCAGCATTATTCCTTCAGCCGCTATTGTCCAGTATGTTTCAGATACTATACCGCAATAGTCAAGTCCCTGATTTGACTCATGGTACGCATTGGGTTTATAGGGCGCTTAATTGGCTATGTTCCGCGCACGTTTTGATCCAAGAATAATGCGAAGAGCGGACCATACAACCGTGAACGTTGCCGCGCGCATACTCGCGCGCGCGACAAGTGCAGCTTCGCGCGTATCTTTTGATGTACGCGAGTTTATCGATTAGAGAAGCGAAAATCGTGCGAATGGGGTAAGGGCTCATGCCTAGTAATCGGTCCCCCCTCCTCCCGCCTCTCTTTGCGCACACATCCTCACAAAACGGTCAGCATGACTCGTCTCTCGCTTACGCGGCGTCGCCCGCAACGCTCAGCACGGCGTATTGCGGTTGTTTTGTCACATATCCAAAAAAGTCACAGGGCAGTTGACTGCCACGTGATTTTTAATGAAATAGAGCAATTTTGCCGCACCTGATGGACAGCTAGATCCGACAGTTACCCACTGCGCTTCAATGCAGCGTTTGCTTAGTTTTTTTTACACATCTTTCTAACGAGCTCTGTATTCCAGGTGCTAACAAAATTGAAGCAGCGAGTCGACACTGCAGCAGCTAGCATTGAAGGCCTTGACGTTTATGTTGGAAGAGCCCTACGAACGCTCAACGGGAGGGCAGAGAAAATGGAGCGACACTTTGATGGTTACATCACCCGGTCAGTCGCTAAAGATAACGAGCAGATAATCCTTCTATTCTATAAACCAGTAACTTTGTGTGTCGGTTTGTATGTATGTATGTATGTATGTATGTATGTCCGTCCGCAAATTTATAGCACGGGTCGTAGCAGTAGTAGGAAGTCAGTTCCAACAGGCAATGTAGGCAGTGGGACGGGAACACTATTTGTGGGTGACAGAAGGTTATCACTTTTGATAAAATCCGAAGAGGAAAGTCGCCAAATGCATAGCGCGGGTCGCAGCAACAGTAGGAAATACAGAAAGGGATAACAGCCGATAGGGAGCAGGGACCTTGACGACAGGTGAAACATTGATATCACTTGATAAGCACTGATAAAATGTCGTCTTTACTACATTTTTTGAGTCTATACTGCGGCTGATCGACCGATGTTGATCTAGAATACCAGTCGGATGGCTGACTCTTGCCGGCGCACATTTTCTGTATCTCGATCCGGCTTGGCCTAGCGGCACGGCTTCTCCTTCTGAAAAGTCGCGGCGACGTCGCACCTGCCCGGCGAAGCCGGTCGTGTCTTAGAAGGAGGAGAGCCGGCGCCAGCCGGCGATGCGACTGGTATACCATAAACTATAACGTTACCTTTGAAGGTTATCGGATTCTCCGCGAGAGGATGCCTTCGCTCCCGTTACCTCCCTACTACGTGGACGTCCATTTGGTAGTTCTGGAAGGAGATCACATGGAATCAGGTACGAAATCCTTGCTCAGCTGCATCTATACTCGACGAAACTGCACTTAAAAACTAACTTTACACTCACCTCCGAGGACTGTCATACTATATGCGAGGTGATCGATCCGCCGCTATAGTAGCGAGCTGCTTTTTCCGCTCAAAAGTGCGCGAGAAGGTTGTGCAAGGTTGTGATACCCAGGTCCCAACTGCTATCCTGAGACTTTGAGCGGAGAAAGTGACACGTGGCCACAGCTGCGGACCGCGCACATGCAAGGACCAGATCTACAGAGACGGATTAGAGTAGACGGGATTACCAAGTACATGGCCTACTTGCATCTGTTTCGAAAATATTTGTTTCAGGTACCACAGTCACAAAAGCGGTCGAATCTGAGGCGGCAGCTCGTGACGATGCAGCGACGAAGAACATCGTACACGCTGCAATCGTGATGGCAAATCTGTGCCAATACCTGGCTGGAATTGCTTTACAGCAGTCAATTGTGGTTGTCAGTAATCCAGTGCGCTGATTCGGCCTTCACACGGACTAGTAATTCTGTCCTCCTGGACGTCATTTTCCAAATTTTTATCACCTCTGCAGGGAGAAGGACGAGCCGCATTTTATGTTTATATGTAGTTGTTCTCAAAAGTGTTCATAACGATTTTTATTCCAAATATCTAAGAGGGCAGAGACTTGGGGTTGTTTACTGTGGTATTATTTAGAGCTAAAAAAATTTATCCACGACAGTGAAGAGACACAGCGAATTAAATCTAACGGGATTACGTTGCCTCCGGTAGGTGCCGTTCCCTTGTGGCGTTCCTTTGCACTCCCAGAGTTGCTACGCTTCCCACCCAGAAGAAGAATATCATGCTCCATCCATTCTGTGGTAGAATCAATGGTCCAACCACAGGAAAGAAACGTCCGTCTTTTTCAAAGGCGTATTCCTCGATTACCTAGTAGAATAAAGGCTTCCCTCGCGTGAGTTGGCAAGGCCGCCGCCGCAGAGCGTACTCCTCTTTCGCAGCTCGAAAATACTTGGCAACCACGCCGTGAGCTCCGGTTGCATGATGTCCTTTCTGTCCCCTTTCCTATCACTGCTGCATTATTTTTTTCACGTTTTTGAGGTGTGCACGACACTATGCTCCTTCTACTTCACTGTTCTCTCTTCCGCGCGCTCAATATTTCGTGGCCTCTCGCTTTTTCGCACACCCATCCAATGCTTGAAATTAACCGCAAAAGGAGGGTCTTATTCAATGCGTTTCTTCTGCTTTCTTTCTAGTGGTAAGAAGTTGGCACACACCAATTCACCATTTTAACCCAATTACCCGAGCCTTGCTATCGCGGAATTTGTCCTTATTATCGTCTGGAGAAGAGCCAGTCGCGGACCAACTATACAGTGTACATTAACTTTTTTGAAGGTCTTCTGTCAGTGGTAATTACCTAAGTGAAAAGTTCCAGATGCTGGTCGTCTAACGTCTTCTCTTTGAGATTTATAAATTATTTGTCGTGTATTTAAAGGAGTTTCGCGAGAATTCGTTCTCTGTTCTGATGGTGATATTTCTTTGGTGATGGAATTTTTATTTAATCAATAATGACTAACATTGTTCGGACTGATGAACAAATTTTGCATTGTCATACTGTTGGAACATATTGTTAAAGAGACTTTAATGGCTGCATATCGCATAATTTATCAGTCAAATAAAGTGCTGACTAATATCGGGAGTGCTCTGTTGGATGAAATATTGTACTGAATAGAAGATGTGAAAGAATTTTGAAGAAGACCATAAAGAATTTTATGAAAAATACAAAAAGAACGGCTTCCGATCCTCAACATGATCGTGATGTGTGAAAAGATGGTGTCAGTGTGAACACCCTCCGTAAAAGAGGGTCGAGGAGCCTCCCACCCATTTCTCCCCCCTCACCCCTCCGCCCTTCAACTTGCCGTACTTACCTGGCAATTTGAATGGCCGGATCGACTGTAGCTGGTTAGATAAGTGTGCCACCCCATGGATGCTCACTTCACGAATTAATTCAAAAACTCAAACTCAGCTAAAAAAAACTGTATTAGGGTAGTTTGGACGCCTGAATACGAATCTCGCACTAGTGAGTACGGAATGGACACCGGGAAGTATTCCCTTAAAGGTAATGGCATGGTGGGTTAGGAGAAGGCGTTTTCAACGATGACCGCCCAAGGAAGGTCCGTTCAGGGCGTGGTGAGCTTTTTCAAAATGGTCTTGTGCATATTGTAGGGGCACATACGAGGACCAGAAAACTGAGGTTCATTTTCGCTGCGCGCTTCTACGAATAAAAAAAATTATTTAAAAAAAATAGGTCGATGGTTCGGATCCCACCGAGGACAAAATTTTGCTTTTCTACAATTTTCATCTTTTGGGTCCATGTTTGTCTAAATACTTTGCCCTAACGAAAACATTCACGATAAACTGAACAATCCTATTTTTGTGGAGCAAAACTGCTTTTTCGTTCGAATTCGTTAGTATTCACAGACTCAGCTCTTCGGCGCTACGCTGGTGCCAGATGGCGCTGGCGTCGAAAACTAAATCTAGAATCGTGATTAGGACTATCGATTAGCCCTAGGAGCAAATTTTGAGCAAAAAAAAATTTTTTTTGACTATTTCGGTTTGCAGGAGACCGACCATTTGGTCGGCAGTGTGAGCGGAGTCTCACATCTTCGTGACAGCGATGACGTATTGATGACGCCACGGACCCCGGGAAACCCAGTAAGCAAACCCAGGAAGGTTGAAACAATTGTTCTGACCAAAAATTTGCTTTGTAGGGGTAACCAGTGGTTTTGATCACGACTATGACACCTGTTCTTGAACTCCATGCAATTTGCCGCCAGAATATCGCTGAACGTCAACTGTATAGGTATAGATAACAAATCCAGTGGAAAGCAGATGTTACCCCAAATTGGCTATAATTGACACCACACAAGTTACTATATTCGCGATCAGATATACTGTGTAGCCTATGAAGATCAACGTTCAGCAACTATCCTGTTTATTGGTGCGTGAAAATCAAAATAGTTGAATAGCACTGACTCATGAGGTATAGCTATTCAGAATATGCCCATAAATGGCAAACATCCGAGCTATATTCATGCGCATTCACAAATGGAAGCGAGAACAGCGAAATCTAAAAAATGCCAGGATAGATGGCAGCGACACAAGGACCGACATCATTATAACCCACCCTCACTGTCCGATTGCGAAGCATCCACTCTATGCCACTAGCCCATCCGATCCACAACTCTGCAGGCGCTCTAATCGTTGATGAAACCATTGCAAGAAGCCGTTCACCCTTGAGCACGTGACCCAAGTTGGAAGCTCACTTGCGGCGATTTTTCGCTTCGATTCAAATAGCCCCTTTATAAGGACCCCCACTCAGCAACTGGTCAAAGTTGCAAGTGACCTACGCCGCATAGAGGCCCAGAACGAAGCAGATTCCAAAGATTTCTTTCACTCGTTTTTTACCTTTCCTGGAAGCGCGCAGCGAAAATGAAGCACACTTTTCAGGTCCTTGCATGAGCCCCTACAATATGCACAAAACCGTTTCTGAAAAGCGCACCACGCCCCGAACGACCTCCCTTGTCAGAGCCGCCATTTGCCTTTAGTCAGCGATGTGTGCGAAGGTCTTAGGAACTGCTTGGGTGAAAAAATGAAAATGTGGGGAATTGGTAGGCAGGTAATGGGGAAGGGGAGGGGGAGGTCACGCCGACACCCTCCCCTTCCCCATTACCTACCTCAGGTGAGGAGTCGTATCTATACCACCATTTTACACATCACGATGCTGTACCCTGGCCTGCGGTAATCTACTGGAATGTGAAAAATTGCGTACAAAGGTAGAGAGGTTCGTGATGGATAGTCTCGAATCAGTTTCGCGGCGGAAAGTTGCGAAGTAAAGACGATAAGGCATTACGTTGCTTCAAGAAACCAACTTTTTTCGGTGACTCGGCCTCTCAGTGAAAAAACCAGTTGAGCAGCTTGAAATGGAGGATATACATTGTCGATTGTGGAGTCGTAGAAGTCGTAAGGATCAGCTGACCGGACTCGTTTCAATATGCGATTGATTCGCCTGTACTCCTGTGATTGCTCGAGGCCTGAGAGATCCTATTGGACGCATTACGGTGTTTCTTCTTGCGTATTCTCCTTCACTGGTGATCACCTGGCAACCTCTTTTCCCTTGATACGCTTCATTTTCCCAGTAGATACGCTTCATTTCGCAGGACCGCGCTTTTGAAGGGGAGGGGCCTGCAGCACGCGAAGTTGGGAAATTACCGATTGGGAGAGATTTTTCTTGAGGCCAAGGGCGAGCCTACGATGAGATCCGCAAAACGATGCTGCACGCTGTTCTGACTGCTCTGGCTGAAACCAAAGTGGGTGGTATATCTCATGATCAAACATGGATTGGATCAGCGCCGAGAACTTTTTACCCGAATGTGATAATCGGTGTGTCTGCACGCGCACGTCCGTTCCGGGTTTAATAAGTTGAGATCATGCGCCTAAAGATCACCCGCGCAAAATCTCCATTATCCATTAACAGGCTCATCCATTCTATAACAGCGGGGAAACTTTCTATATTCGCCAAAGCGGTTCCATAGTAGACCCTGTTGCTTTATTGAGACGCCAAAAGTGTTGAAAGGATTGACTAACTCGTATCTTTTAAGAATGGCATAATGATGTGCCAGTACGTCCCCCAAAATCCCTCTTCCAGTATGAACACCTTCCACCCCCCCCCCCCTTAGCCATCCTACCTTCTATCTTTCTGAGTTTTTCCAATCTCCCACCATTTTTCTGCTACCAGTTTCCCCAGTTCTCCAAAACTTCCAGATAATTTCCCAGTTTTTTCCCTAAAAAACTGCCGTCAACCGGGAAAGGGAGGGTGGGCGTCAACACCAATCAAGATCAACCATCAAAAACTCAAAAACAGTGGTCCATAGTGGTTTTACGGCGTTGCTATAGGGGTGAGAGGTGTAAGAGCGCACAAGAAACAGGTAAAATTGTCGGAAGTCAACGACCAGAGGAAAAGTCTATTATCGTCGTCTGCGACGACGATCCCACTCTCTACCTCCTCTCTCACGTCTGGGGCTAAAACCTCTCTCAGCGTGGGTCCTTGAGTACTATCATGAGGCGGACTCATGATATGAATAGTCCAGGCAGTCTGCTATATTCCCTACAATACACTAGCTGCTACCTCCTGTTCAACGTCCCGAGTAAGACGTCCATTTACTCGCCCTTCCTCGCACAACTACCGTCGCAATCAAGACGTAGGTTCATCTCATATACATAATAAAGGTATTATATAGATTATTATTGTCATTCTCGCTGCTTACTCAAGGGCATATATATAAATCCACTGAACCACCACATTTATCACATTCTGAAACATTTCTTCAACGATCAAGTACGATCCCCATCGACCAATTACGAGCCCTCACAGCGACCGAGTACGCCCCCTTGATGGGATTCTTTCAACGAGCTGTACCCTGGTTCCGAGGCCTTCTGCACGCAG